TTATGAGTCGATCGATGCTCTTATCGTAAATATATATATAAATAAAGACTTTTATTTTTATTTACTAAAAGGTTTTTCACCGTATTACTCATGAATTCGTTGTTAGCATTACATTTTGTGAGACAATGGCTTTGCGTAGTACCCAACGAAAGTCCCCACATATAACTAGATTCTCTTAGAGGGAGAGCGTGACACTTGTGTATAGGTCTATACAGGACTGACAATTCCACACTTTGACTGTTAACTACAGTCCCCGGGGTGACAAATGTTAACATCGGTACCGACGTCTAGTATGGTTATAAGAACTCGCAAGGTGAGAGAATGACTCATGCACGTAGTAATATGCTTCTCAAATGACCTTAAGGAGTAGAATCTTTATGGTTATTTTATATATATATATATATATATATATATATATATATATATATATAACTTGTTTGTATTAAGAAATCTTAATAAGGTATTATTAACACGTTAAGAATCTAGAGTGAGCACATGTACAACTAGTTTTATTTAACAATAAAACTATAAGATGTTCAAGCTAAGTATGACATATTTACTTACACTTTTCGGTATCGGTTCATATTAGACTACATAACTCAACTCATGGAAAATATAGGATTTTCTTGGACAAGCATCATCATTTTACAAGTGAGCGATTTACAAATTCATTTTCTAGAAATAAATAAGGTTATCTATTCAAAGCTTCATTCTTTAAGTAAAAGAAATTATACAATTTTTGTCTTAAGGTTCTGAGACTACATTCCATTCAACTAATAAGAAAATATAAGATTTTCAGGAGAAACACCGTCACACTTTCAAAGAATAAAGAATGTAGCCTTTTTAACAAAAAATGCTAGTGAACTCACCAACTTAAATGTTGATACACTTTCAAAATCACTTGTATTCTCAAGATAAACAGTAGACAGGTACATGTGCAGATTCTGTGAAGACGGAGCATAATAGTGTTTAGTCTTTGTTTTGTTATTTACTTTTGGAGTCTATCATGTGTAATTTGAATACAATGTAAACACTTTAATATTAATGCAATGGATGTTGTTACTTGTTTTACTATTTGTGACAACCCTATATTTTCCAAAAGCATTGTAACGCTCATAAGTCGAATACAACTAAATTAACCTTGAAAATAAAGTATTCAAATATCTAAGTTGGGATGCATCAAATATTAGATAACATGTCAAGGTTTCCGAAAACATAAAGAACACTCAAAACCGGGTTATATTGAAGAAATTATAACCACTCGTATATTTACGACGCGCCGTTAAAACATTATTTGACGTAAAAAGTAAAATCTCAATAATGTACATTTTAGCCTTAAGTATCTAAATAAAAATTGTAGATCTCGTTGAAAGGTGAGCGTGCATAAAAAGATCGCCCAAATTGGACCTCGTATGAAGAAGTTATGAATTTTCAAAGTTTCGTAACAGTAGTAGAGGGCTAAAAACCCGAATTGAAGATCGAGTGTAAACTAGCTAACGCAATCTAAATGAGAGCTGAAGATCTCCACAATAGGAGCAAATTGATAAAAAGACAAACGGAAACCGACGCTGAATAAAGAACCTATAAATCTTTAACGAACTTTAGGAGGCCCGGCCTATTTAAACTTATGTCATTAAAAATAAAGTCAAAACTAGCCGACGGAGTCTAAAGGAAAGTTGTAGAGCATAATCTCACCTACATGTGGATATAAAGAACACGAAAAACGGAGCTCGTACACGAAAGTTACGGAATTTAGAAGAGGACAGGCCAGATTACGCCCCGCGTACTAGACCCAGAGTCAAGTCCCATCGGCCCGCCCACTCTACGCTTAGCTAGCCAGGAGTCGTAAGCCATGACGCATTATTACGCCCCGCGTAACCAAGGTACGCCCCACGTACTGTCTACGCCCCGCGTACTTTGGAGGTACGCGCCGCGTACGGGGGTTTCCAGCCCTATAAATAGATGGCATAAGCTCGAGTTTTTGCACGCCATTCACAATTCCTCAGTCATTCTCTCATACTTCTAAGCTCCAGAGACCCTCCCCTCACCTCGGTTTCCGCACTCGAGCCCCCGACGAAAGATTTACGCTGCAAAGATCCCCGAAGAGCCCGACAACGCAACTATCCGCGGTCGAAGTTCTACTCAACTCTAGCCTCTCTCTTCAAACCTAACGAGTGAGTTCATACCCCTACTTTTCAATTCTTTTTCATGTTTTAAGGGGGGAAGTACAAGTACATTACACGTTAAAGTATCGTTTTATAAACATAAATGAAATTTCTATCTTCGAATATCGATACAAACAACTTATGTATACAAGAGTTATTATGTCACTAAGTTATTTCTACTAAATGGAACATACTATCTGAAAAACTATAATGGGTATAGTTAACAAGTCAGTCGTACATTTTACATATACATCTTGAAAAACGAAACACTTTCAAAAGAAGTAAGGTCATTTCATTGTAAATCTACTTATACTAAGCAATGTGAGATATTCAAACTTCAACGTACATTTTTGTATGCATTTCAAGTCCTGTATTATATACCATAATCTCTTGGAGGGAGAGCGTGATACTTGTGTATAGATCTATACGGGATTGACAATCCCAAACCTAAACTACTAGCTATAGTTAGACCGGCAGGTCTGGGGTGACAAATGTCATAACACTGCAACACCTGAAGAATGTTGTTACAGGCCGTCAGTGTCAATAGTATGGTTATAAAACTCACATAAAAAGTATAAAACAAGATTGATTTATGAGATTCATATGTGCATTGCAGTTTTCTACATTATTTTTCATACAAAGTTATTTTTATCATTCAAGTATAAAAGATACCAACACATTCTAACTTTGGAAACTTTTTGAATCACTTACAAGAAAATATTGGATTTTCGGAAAACCTTGTTTACCAATTTACTACCAAAAAGGATATACTTTTCAACTCAAAACACTCATGAACTCACTAACTTAATTATTGACACTTTTGCAAAACCACTTGTATTTCTCAGGGAATCAGTGATACAGGTAACTACCAGCTTTTGGGAGAAGGAACACTAAGGATGTTTTTATTATTGAACATTTATCATCATATTGTAATATTCTTTTGATAACATGTATAACGCAACAATATACGTTTTCATTATATATATACGATGGTTGTGTTACTTTCTTTACAATATTCAATTGTTGTGATACTACGTGAAGTCATCCACCCCCTAATGTTTCCGCCATTCTGGTTTGGGGGTGTGACACTATTTTACATTTGTTGTGATACTGAACATGACGTCCTCTGCCCCTGAACGTTTACGCCGTTTTAGTTTGGGAGTGTGACATTTATGAAGGGTTCAATGAAAATTCCCTTACACCATCCATTTAGATGTCCCAAGTTGTTAAAGATGGGAATTTTTGGAAAACATTGTGCTTTTGTGTTTTTACATTCGAATAAAGAAGTTTGAAGACGTTTTTAGAATCCACATGGAGTTAATTTTGAAGAATTCAAGTGTTTTCAAGTGTCTGGGAGCTTCAAATACAAGAACAGGTGAAAACAGACAAAAAACTAGAGTCGAGTTGTACGCGACCCGCGTGCCCTTTCGTGTGTAGTCTGCTTGGGGTCTATGCGAGTCGTGCACCGTTTTGACAATAATCATATTTTTGTTGACTTATGTTTTAACTGCGATGACCAGCTCTTTATGTAGTTTGACATGTTGACTTTCGTTGACCAAATGCTTTCTGATGCAACCTCTTATTCCCTAGACATCCCCTGCAAATTTCTTTCTTCCATAAACCTTCCACTTCTCTGAACAACTCAAGAACACAAAAACCCACTTCGTCGAAACAAATCCATTTTGTAGTTGACTCGACGGTCAACATTCGATGAACCGTGTGCCAATCTCTTAGTTTTTCCAAGATCTACACATCTAACCAAACAAAACTGAAAAATATCACCAAAAATTTCACCGCAAATTTTGAGTTAACACGAGACGCCGCCAGGCTTTTGCAAGAATCATGTTGGAAACTTTGTATTGTTGAAAGAGTCTTGCATTTTGGTACCCATGAACAACAAATATTGGGGTGCAAGGGAGTGGATTTCGAGCTCAATTTTTAATTTTTGGGGACAAAAAACAATCAAATTGGGTATTCTCTTTCTTTGGTTTTACCTACCTTACCCATATTATTTATAAGTTTGGCTCGAGAATTGACGGATTTTGTTGATATTGCTTGGAAACTTGATTAAAAGTTGTTCAAAAATTTGTTGGAATTGTCAAATGAAACCGGTGGGTATTGCTTAAATTTTTTTTTGACTTGTCAAAGGTTGAGTGCATTTATTTGTTGAAATTGTTTCTGTTCGGTTCAAATATTATCATATTCATTTTGAGAGTGGTGAGGAGAGGGATTATTGTGTAGATTGGTTTTGTTTTTATAGATCTTCAAGAATAGCCAGAACTCAGACACGGACACACACTCGTGGATCAACCGTTGATCCTAATCCGAAAAACAATGATGATGGTACGTCACCCAAGTCCGCCAGAAAATGAAAGAAGATGGAGATGAGGGAGGCAATCCTTCCCTCCCAAACGAGGAAATAAAAAAATATCGTTTCAACCTCAATGATCGGGAAATCCATCCAACAAAGTTCTACCATCAGGAGTCGATGGAAAAGCTTGCGGTTGATGACGGGTTAACATATTTATTCCAATAAACGGATTAGGCTGGCTTTCTTAACCTCTGTGATTGAGCTTTCAAAGAACCAACACTGGAGTTCCATAACACATTCATGAGGGATGATGAAACAAAAATCCTTACCTTTCAGTTACAAGGATTAAATCACAGACTCAACTACGAAGAGCTTAGTCAAATCATGGGTACTGATTACATACACCACATATGCTCACATACAAGTTACTACCCTGATTTTATGCGCAACCCCGATGCACATTTTTGGAGACGGATCTCTAGACTCGACTCCTTTAATCAGAGTCAACAAAGTTCAAGCATATTATGCATCCTTGCTGGAGAATTTCACATCGAATCCTCTCCACCATTATCTTTGGGCGTCTTGAGCTTGTTCAAATTAACCGTTATGAACTGTTCTTCCTTTGCTACATCTACAAGAGTAAGTTTCCTTGTTTGTCCACGATTTTCCTTGACAAGTGTGACTCGGTTCAACAACAGACCACCGGAGAAATTCACAGAAGGGGGCTAATCACCATTATAGGTCTAGCCATCGGCCTAGAGTTCCCTACCCCCACATACATACCTGTTGACCTCCTCCATCCTACCTTCCTACTCGATTTTGCTGCTCTAGAGTGTATGGAGATGTTGCAAGACTGGAGAAATGATGGGTACATTTGGCTTAATAGTAACAAAGCCCCAATCTACATTCTTCCAAGCTGGATTGGTGATTCATTCGATGCACGAGACCCTGACAGGAGGGACTAATAATATGGGCAAACAACTCCTTGGCATTGTTTGGAGTATCTTCGCAGGAAAAGTTGTTGATTACGAGAAAATAATTTGGGATAATTTTCTTCAATACATCTCCAAGGATGCACCAAAAGAAGGCATGATAGAATTGACGTTTGCAAGGTTCTGGTCATGATCTCAAGAGGTACAACCCTTCCACCAATCAAACTATTTTTGGTCCCGTCGGTAGATTACCCATGTACATTTTGGAGTCCATTGGACTCACTACCGTAGAGGTAGCAGACCATATAATGTCTACGAGTGATATTGCTCCATATCACTCTTCCTTGCCAAGATCCATTCAACCTACTGTAGTCCAGGACCCGCAACTAAAACCTTCAAAATCCAGTCATTCTACCGCAACACATGAACAACCTCCAAAATCAAAAGGTTTAAATCCCTTGTTTTCTCAAGAAAAACACATGTGAACATTGTTAAAAAGGGAGTTATGCCCCTAAATAAAAGAAAGGCAAAAACTGCAGAGCCTACTCCTATATTCCCACTTTCTCCTTCCCAAGCTCATGACATTCCTGTTAATGTTATCGATGAACATCAAGATAAGCACTCAAAATCCTAATATATTTTTACGAGAAAGAGATTAAATATTATCACCAGTTCTAGCCAAATACGATCCTAGGTACATGCAAGAGTCTCTCAAAAGACTCCCACAGCCATTTGAGTAACCCCAGACTCACCCAAAAAATCCCCAAATTAGCCCTCAGATACCTAAAGTGTATCTGTTTCGTCTTATGTTGGAGACAGGCACCTAATTGGAACCTAAGTGGATCCAATTGTTACTAGTCTCCCTAAGGTCTCTAGGGAATCACGGTTCCACATCTTGAATCCGAGGAGTTACGCTCCATTTTCCTTTGAGTCACACATACACTAGATACACATGTTGCACCGCAGGGCACTTCTTTCTCATCCCTTGCCTTAATAGAGCAGAGGCCAAACTTGACTTTAGGTCAAGGAGATTAAGGAAGCTTCTGAAACCCTATATTGCCTACATTACAGTTAAGTGGTTTAGGCATGGTGAGCACACACATGCAGGGATCCATGTACCCGAGGGACACCTCGGTATGCCAAGGACTTGACAGTTATGCTTTGGATGACTCTTGGACTCGATATCGTCCAACAACAGAGTCGGGGTTACCTAAATTTGACGTTTTTAAAAGAGAATTGAACGCAAGAAAGGCACAACAGGTACAACTACAACATCAAAAAGAAGAATCTCTCCAACTTGTAGCAAAATACTGCGCTACAATGTTCAACAATGCCAAAAATATTCATGATCTTTTGGCAATTGAACAATGTATGTCTTCAATGGATCTTACTGTGCAACAAGCTCAAAACATGGATAATGTAGTTGGCCCTTCTAATCCTCCTCAAAATGATGAAGCTCACAACTCAAATGATGATGGTACCGCAATGGAGATCAGTGCAACACCCATGCTCAATCTTGATGATGAAAACCTCGACGATATTCAACAACCTCTTCCCTCAGATGATTTTATCATGTTAATTGACGATGAAGAAGCAAGTGGATCTCAACATTCCATTTCGAAGCCTAAACCTAAGAAGAAAAAGAAGATAACGGTTTCAAGGAAAGAATTCCTCAATCTTCAAGGAAAAGTAGATCATATCTTGGCAAAGTCATTTCCAAAGAACCGCAGAGCATTGATGCTCCAACACCATAGTCACTCATCGAATTAGTTGAAAGGTTAAATACAAGGAAAGGTTGGTTGTGGATCGGATGATTCAAAGATTGGAAATGGGTATAAGGGAACTTGATAACCGAACAACTGCATACCACAAGGATTTTTATGTCCAAAGCTCAAGCCTTCATCATAGAAGTCAAGAAGTTGAAAGATGATCTCGAACAGACATTGCACTCTCAAGAAAGCAACTCCAAAAAGCTTATTGAGGAAACCCATATTGTGTATGAATCAGGGTATGTAGTCCTCTAAGACACCATCAAAGGATTTAGAAGATCACTCACCACAAACCAAAGTGTTGACAAAATTCTCAGCCTCACCAAGGAGATTTATCAACATCTCTTCAAGTCACAAACCCCCAACAACCAACATGTTTGTGATCAAATGAAAAAGCACTTCAAAGATATGTTTGAGAAAATTGAAGGTTTGAAACATTGGTTTGAGGAACAGCTAAAGCCTGCTTCCTCAAAAGGGGGAAGTGATAGTGATTCTGTGACAACCCGAAAATTTTAAGCCGGTAAAGCACTGTTAAGCATAAAGCATGAAATTTCAATAGAATAGTTTTTAGCCTTAGGTATCTAAATGAAAGTCGTAGATATCATTAAACCGTAAACGTACATAAAAAGAACGTCCAAATCTGACTTTGTATGAGGAAGTTATGATTTTTCTAAGTTTCAGATATATAGCAATAGACAACTAAAAACTCGAAATAGAGATCAAGTGACTTTTAGCCGACGCAACCTAAATGAGAATGAAAGATCTCGACAGATGAAAATGGACGTCGAAAGAAGAAGTTATGGATTTTTAATAGACTTTTATAGTCCCGGCCTGTTAAAAATGGATTATTAAAAATAAATCAAATTTAGCCGATTGTCTAAATGAAAGTTGTAGAGCATAATGTCACCTACACATGGATATAAAGAACGTCAAAATCGGAGCTCGTATGCTAGAGATATGAATTAATGAAGTTCGGGTCACAAATCCCCACATTGTCAAAGGACTCACGACGTGACCCTGAAGCTGACGACATCAGCTAGGGATGGATAGGATTTCTAAGGTTGGGCTGTCAAAATTTGAGTCAGCAGGTGGATAGGATAGACCTCACGACGTGAGCCACTACATGATCACAATGTGAGCTCCCAAATCATTGCCTATAAATAGAAGCTGAAGCTCTCGGGTTTAGGCTGCTGAAATCTACTTCCCTTTCTACTTTTACACTGTGTTAAGCATCTTGAGGCTACCTTGATGCCCCGGTTACGTGTTGAAGCCCTGATGGATGCTTGAAGTCCCGAAGTTCCCGAGATTTCCTAGAAATCGATGTCTTTCCAGTCGAAGTGCTGCCCGAGCAAAGTATCGTTTTCATCAAATCGTCACTTCTACCAAGTGAGTTCATACCCCTAACTTATCTTTTAAATGATTTTAAATGATTTTGTGGGGGAGGGGGGGGAATAAAAGTAGAAAACCATATAGTTGTATAATCAATCACATGTGACTTATAACTATCAAAGAAATTTGTTATACTTTAAACTGTGTTATCAAACAAACTATTTCAAATCAATTCAATACCTTTGGGTAGCAAAGGTGTACAAACATATTCAATCATCCAAACAACATTACTATTAAGCTATAATAGGTATAGTTTAAAGGACTAATACTCACTATTTTTAGTACAATGAAACATACAATAGTCAGTTCATACATGAGTCAGTTCAGAACATACTATAACGAGAAATAAAAAGAACATGCTATAAAGAGAAATAGGGAGAAACATGCTATACACTAGAATAGAAGGAACATACGATAACAAGAATAAGATAACAATAATGTGAAACCACTACTTCATGGATTTACAGTATACTTGTTAGGTCGTGTTTTGTAACCAGAGTCTCCTGGAGGGAGAGCATGAGTTTGTGTATATAGATCTATACGGGATTGACACCCTACACCTTGTTGCTAGCTATTGTGGGACTTGCAAGTCTGTGGGTGACAAATGTCACATCAGTTTCGGCACCTTTAGGTCGTCGTGTTAAACACGTGTCATATCAGTATGGTTACACCCAACTCACATTTTAACCTTAATTAACAAATTGGTTTTAAGGTAGTAAGTGCTTCAGTAATTACTTATACAATATTAAGGAATAATTTCATTTTCCCATTACATTCATATTGTGATATTCTCACAAAAAGGGTAATGCAAACTCTTTTCTAGTAAAGATCATCCTAAACTTGGGAAATATCACAAAAGACAAAAAATACGGTCGAGTCTTAGTACATTCATTTAGAAAGGGGCCTATAATGCTAACTTTATTGCATACATCAGGGATATATATTAATCGGGTCCGACAGACAGTAGGATGTGTGCTTTTCGCTTCATTTCCTATTCCTTGTTTGGTTGTGGGCTTAGAGTAGATGCACCTAGTCTACAATCTATCCGATCTTAGTTATGTATATATTCCGTATACACCAAGTAATCATAATGAGTACCAGGTATGGGTCAGGTCATAGTAAGCAAATTCAATACACCATTTTCTAGTACAAAAACATACTCTTCAGTTAGGACATTTAGTAGGCTAAACTAGAAACTAATCAGAAAATGGGTTTAATCCATTTTATTAAACCAATATAACTTAAAGAACCTTTAGTGGTAAATTCTACAAAATACCTTAGTTTATACATCAGAGTTATATATAATAAATATCCGATACGTAGTTGGATGTGTGTTTTCTGCCTTACTTCCTGTTCCTTATTTGGTTGTGGGCTTAGGGCAGATTCACCCATTTAACTGTCCATTTGAAATTAGATTATACATAGCTTGTATAAACTAAGTGATTATAGAAGGAACTATTGTGGCTACTATTTTTACTAAAGGAAATATATGATTTTGTTAAAGAATATTTTCATCAAATATAAAGAACTATTACAGTTAACTCCGTAAGTACGAAATGAATATGCCAGGGTTATATACAGTGAAGATCTAACAAACAATGGGATGTGTGACTTCCGCCTCATTTCCTGTTCCTTGTTTGTTTGTGGGCTTAGGGCAGATTCACACAATCGATTGTATGTTTACTCTAAATTGTATATAACTTGTATCCATTTAGTACTCATAGAGGGAATTGTATAGTCATTTTTACTCTCATTCATCACATCAGAAGATATAGGATTTTCTGAAGGAACGCGTGAACTTTTCTAAAAAGAAATTTCAACTTACTTTACATCACTAAAATACTTATGAACTCACCAGCTTAAATGCTGATCTAC